CCCCAAGATGGAGTATATTTTTCTGACCAAATTGAGGGAAGAACCTACTCCCCCACTCGTTTATTTTTATTTACTTTATAACTTCTCCAAATAAGCCTATAGGCTATAGGAGTATAATAATCCTTTAAAGATTCTTTAATTGTTTATAATTATAAAAAGATTATGCCAACATGTAACAAAATTGACAATTGTAAACGTTATTAATTATTTAGTTATCCTCTAATAGCAACAAGAGTCTAAAAATGGAAAACGCTTAGCTTTGGTCATCACCACAATAAAATGTTGAAGAATCAGTCTCCAAATACAATAAGCTTTTGAAGAACAAATTGGCGAAATCAGATATGGTATATTTTAAAGATACGTACAGCCATTATATTTGATTTTTTTCCAAAAAAAAATTAGGATCTTATTCTACCATTGATTGTATTCTACCAAGCCTTTGTCGATGATTTTTATTTTCACATGTAAACTCATTGGTTACGGACAACTCTCTCTAAAACAAAGACTTAGAAATTCGACAGATATTATAATATAACGATGTTTTCGCAGGAAAAAAAACACAATGTTAATAGTCAGCGTAGGAAAAAAAATCTTAATATTAATGAAATAAGGGAATGCTTTTACTATTTTCACTCATAGTTATAGTTCTAAATTCTTGTTATCAATTGTCAAAATGTATACAACAGATATTCCAAATACTTCTTCTGTTCCTAAAAGATTGATGTTCTAGCTATTATTGTTTGTTCCACAAAAATTGATTTTCTAGCATTTTTTTTTTTATTTTTATTAAATTATAATAATAAATTGTAAACTTCAAGATACAATGATTATAAATCATTAACTTTTTTAAACTACTATTAGTTGATAATTATTAAAAATATTTAAAATTAAAAACAATATTAAAATGATTAAACAATGATTGAGTTTTTAATATGTGTGAAGAATCCAAAACATCAAACTATTAGAAACGGAAGGAGTAATATTATAATTGGTGAAATTCTATTTGGTAAAACAAAACAAAAAAAAGGTTTTGACTTTTTTACATAAATAGGAATTCACTGCAGGGAGACATGTGGTTGCTCATTTGTTTATTCCCTGTGTGTCTGTAATCTCTGTCTAGAAAGTGGAGGAATCTTCTATCTCTCCTCCAGTCAGAAAAACCCAAGCAGCCTGGAAGAGAGAGAGAGAGAGAGAGAGAGAGAGTAATGTGATAGTTATATGAAAACAAAATTCGCAGTAAGGTCTCGCTATGTCCCGATGCATAGAGGAAGATAACGATCCACAAATTTTCATTTTAGAAAGTTTTTAAAATTTCTTCTTCTTTTTTTTATATTCATCTTCCGTGAAGAAGTAACACACAATAACCCCATCAGACATCTTTAAAGCTTTCTTTTTTCTTGTTCTTTTGGTTTGAGATTTGGGTTTTTTTCTCATTTGCTCCTTCTAACTCAGACAACAAATTGCAACAGAGGAAACTTTAAACCCCACTTGAGGAAGGAATCTTTGAGAATCTCTCTCTGACTTGTGAGTTTTTCCTTCTACTTTCTCTTCTAAAGGTTTGGTTTTTCGTTGAGAACGAAGCTGATTAGTTCAAAGTTCGTTTTTTTTTGGGTTTCATTGAGCCATATGGTTTGACCAGTTTGAAGGAATCAAATAAAAAGTTTGGTTTTTTGTTTGTGTTGGATTATTTCATTTTGTCTTCATGAATTAGATTTAGACAAGATTTGCGCTTGACTAGTGTTTCGTTAAATGTTTTGATTTGTGCCCTTTAATTTCCTACTTTATCGGTTGGTGAATTCTATACTCATGAGTCCTATCACTTTCTGAAAATGCAAGCATGAAGAAAAACAAAAAAAACAAAAACTCGATCTCGGACTTTTGTTTGTTTTGTTTCTTAAAATGGATGCTTCGTTTTTTCAGATGTTGCTTCATTGATTTTGGAGATATATCCATGGAAGATAGTTTTCTTCAATCTGAGAACGCCGTTATGGACGCTGACTTCATGGATGGATTGCTACTAGATGGTTGTTGGTTAGAGACAACAGATGGATCTGAGTTTCTTAACATAGCTCCTTCAACTTCTTCTGTTAGCCCTTTTGATCCATCTTCCTTCATGTGGTCTCCAACTCAAGATACATCAGCTCTCTGTACATCGGGAGTTGTATCTCAGATGTATGGTCAGGACTGTGTAGAAAGATCGAGTCTTGATGAGTTTCAATGGAACAAACGATGGTGGATTGGACCAGGAGGTGGTGGTTCTTCTGTTACTGAGAGATTGGTTCAAGCAGTTGAATACATTAAAGATTACACAACGGAGAGAGGCTCGCTTATTCAGTTATGGGTTCCGGTTAATAGAGGCGGTAAGCGAGTTTTGACCACAAAGGAACAACCTTTTAGCCATGATCCGTTGTGTCAAAGACTTGCAAACTATAGAGAGATCTCTGTGAAATATCAGTTCTCTGCTGAGCAAGATGATTCAAAGGCCTTAACTGGTTTGCCTGGAAGGGTTTTCTTGGGGAAGCTTCCTGAATGGACTCCTGATGTTAGGTTTTTCAAGAGCGAGGAGTATCCGAGAGTACACCACGCTCAGGACTGCGGTGTCCGTGGAACGCTGGCGATTCCGGTGTTTGAACAAGGTAGTAAGATTTGTTTGGGTGTTATTGAGGTTGTAATGACCACTGAGATGGTTAAACTAAGACCTGAGCTTGAAAGCATTTGCAGAGCACTTCAGGTTTGTGTCCTTCTCTGAAGCTCTCAGCTTTTGCTATTGAAATGGTTTTCTGAGAGGGATGTATGTGTTTCCTTTTTGCAGGCAGTTGATCTTAGGAGCACCGAACTTCCGATTCCGCCTACTCTAAAGGTAATCAAAGAAACTACATGAGTTCTTTAAGTTCCGATTTGTGGTATAAATCAGATTGCTTCTTCTTTAATCAGGGATGTGACTTATCCTACCAAGCTGCATTACCTGAAATCCGAAACCTCTTGAGATGTGCTTGTGAGACTCATAAACTACCTTTAGCTCAGACATGGGTCTCTTGTCAACAACAAAACAAAAGCGGGTGCCGTCACAACGATGAGAACTACATCCATTGCGTATCAACCATTGATGATGCTTGCTATGTTGGTGATCCAACAGTTCGCGAGTTCCACGAAGCTTGCTCTGAGCATCACCTCTTGAAAGGCCAAGGAGTTGCAGGTCAAGCCTTCTTGACCAATGGACCTTGCTTTTCGTCTGATGTATCTAACTACAAGAAATCAGAGTACCCTCTCTCTCACCATGCTAATATGTACGGTTTACATGGCGCGGTTGCAATTCGCCTGCGCTGCATCCACACGGGCCCTGCTGATTTCGTCTTAGAGTTCTTTTTGCCCAAAGAATGCGATGATCTGGAGGAACAGAGGACAATGTTGAATGCTCTTTCAACTATTATGGCTCATGTGCCTAGAAGCTTAAGGACTGTTACAGATAAAGAACTAGAAGAAGAGAGTGAAGTGATAGAAAGGGAAGAGATAGTAACGCCAAAGATAGAAAACGCATCGGAACTCCATGGAAATTCCCCATGGAACGCCTCTCTCGAAGAAATCCAGCGGAGTAATAATACTAGTAATCCTCAGAATCTTGGATTGGTATTTGATGGAGGAGAACCACATGATGGGTTTGGCTTAAAAAGAGGTTTTGACTACACCATGGATTCTAATGTCAATGAGAGCAGCACTTTCTCTAGTGGCGGTTTCAGTATGATGGCTGAGAAAAAGCGTACAAAAGCAGATAAAACCATCACTTTGGATGTTCTTCGACAGTATTTCGCAGGGAGCTTGAAAGATGCAGCCAAGAATATTGGTGGTAAGCAGCATTTCTTTATCTTCTCGATTCAATTCATCGGAAAGTCCCAAGACTGATCTCTTCTTTTTGCCTTTTTCTTCTCTTGGAAAATTTTCAGTTTGTCCAACGACCTTGAAGAGAATATGCAGACAGCATGGTATACAGAGATGGCCTTCAAGAAAGATCAAGAAAGTGGGACATTCTCTGCAGAAGATCCAACGGGTTATTGATTCGGTTCAAGGTGTTTCTGGTCCTCTTCCGATAGGTTCCTTCTATGCGAATTTCCCAAATTTAGTCTCACAGTCACAAGAACCATCACAAGCCAAGACCTCGCCTCCTCCTCCGCCGCCAGTGCAGTTAGCAAAGTCCCCTGTATCCTCATATAGTCACAGTTCAAACTCTAGCCAATGTTGCTCCAGCGAAACCCAACTAAACAGCGGTGCAACAACCGATCCTCCTTCAACTGATGTAGTAGGATCATTGAAGAAGACAAGTAGCGAAATTGAGCTTCAAAGCTCTAGTCTTGATGAGACAATTTTGACTCTCTCCAGTTTAGAAAACATCCCTCAAGGCACCAACTTGTTATCATCTCAAGATGATGACTTTCTGAGGATTAAAGTTAGCTACGGAGAAGAGAAGATCAGATTACGGATGCGGAATTCGCGCAGGTTAACAGATCTATTGTGGGAGATCGGGAAGCGGTTTAGCATAGAGGATATGAGCAGGTATGATCTAAAGTACTTAGACGAAGACAATGAATGGGTTTTGTTGACTTGCGACGAAGATGTAGAAGAGTGTGTAGATGTCTGCAGAACCACACCGAGTCACACCATTAAGCTTTTGCTTCAGGTTTCTTCTCATCATTTCCCTGAACGTTCTTCAGCTACAGAATACAGTTTATGGCACTGACCTCAAATCAGAGAAAGAAAACAGAAAAAGAAGCGTTTTAGGACATGACACAGAAGATAATAATACCTTTGTGTTCTGTTACAATTGTTCATAATTTTATCTTCGTTTTTTTTTTTGAAAGATTACTAGGAGAGGTGCTTTGGGTTTTGTTTTTAAAAACGCACCAGAGACAAGAAGAGAAGAACATGTAAAGATCTTATCTTCCTGAGATATTGAAGATGGTTTTTTTTTGTTTTCTGAAATTCCTATGTAATGCTGTTTTCAAATGTAGATACATATAAAAGAACTTTAATTGTTTCCATAATTGTCATATACATCATATATAGGAAACAAACAAGTAAAAGAAATTAAAAACAAAACATTTACCAAATATATATTGTTTTCCAGGAAAAAAAAAAAAAAAAACATTTTTACATAACATCAAACTGAAATTCTTAACAAAAGCTCAAGACTGTTTGTGTGTTTTACAAGTCTCGTGGCGGCGTTCTTGTAACCTCCGGTGATGGGGACGAGACGTTTCGAGCTTCATGAGATCGGCTCTGTGCGGCTAAGTACTCTAGTGCCACAACTATGTCACCTATGAACGGTCGATAATGAGCTTCTTCGTTAAGACACATTGCTATTATCGCAATCGCATAGTTTAAACACCGTCTTGGGTATTTTCCTCGTAGAGACGGATCCACTAAATGTCCAAACTTCTTCTGATCCTTGAGGTATGAACGTGACTGCAGAGACAACAAAGTTTTGGTTATAGCTAGAGTAGGATTTTATGAACTACGTATTAATCGGTTTAGTAGGTTTCTTACCCAAGTAACAAGATTCTGCTCGCCTTGCTTTTGACTCAAATCAATAGCTTTTCTCCCAGTAATCAGCTCAAGCAACACTACACCGAAGCAGTAGATATCCGATTTAACAGTTAATTTCCCGCTCATTGCGTATTCAGGAGCACAGTATCCGTAAGTTCCCATGACACGGGTCGATACATGAGTTCGATCACCTACTGGACCGAGTTTCGCCAATCCGAAGTCCGAGAGTTTTGGACTGAACTCTTTGTCTAACAATATGTTTGCAGATTTCAAATCGCGGTAAATCACTGGAGGGTTAGCTGTGCAGTGAAGATACTCTATTCCGCGAGCTGCACCAACCGCGATTTTCATTCGAGTATTCCAACTTAATGGTTCTTGATTGGACTCGAGATCTGAAAAATTAAACAAAAGAGTACGACATTTGAAATTGAAAATCCTTAAAAGAAAATAACAGCAAAACATTTGAAACAACAAAGGAGTAAAGTAACTAACCAAAAAGGTGATCTTCTAGGCTTCCCATTGGCATGTATTCATAGACAAGAAGTCTCTGATCACCAGAAGTACAGTAACCAATCAATGTAACAAGATTCGGATGATGCAATAAGCTAAGCATAAGAACTTCTACTATAAATTCTCGGTTGCCTTGAAGCCCATCTGGATTCAATTGCTTAATAGCCACTACCTGTTTTCATCAAATCAAATCAAAATCTCATAAAAACAGAGTTTCTCTGTAAAAGGAGGGCATGAGGAAGAGAGAGGGAGAGAGAGATCTGACTTGTCCTGAATCTAAACGTCCCTTATAAACTCTGCCAAAGCCTCCTTCACCGAGCAAATTCACCTCCCGGAAGTTTCTTGTGGCTGCAGCTAACTCCTTGAACGTGAAGCTCCGAGCTCCACCACCAGGTATCGGACTATTCACTTTACCGTTTACTGTTCCAAATTCGGACAGACAATTAACCCAAAAAATGTGTGAAAAAGACAATAAAAGGGTCATAATCAAGAAACAACTCATGACTCACCTAAAATACCCGAAATCGACTCTGTTCCTGTTGTATCACTTCCATGAACTGAAATCACAAAAAAAAAAAACAAAAATGAAAACTTCAGAGGTAAAAACAATGAAAGTTTTCGAATTGTGGAAAAGAAAAAAGAACCTGATGAATCGGTTTGGTAACGAGAGTTGCATCGAGCGTTATCAATGTCGACTCTTATGTCCTTGGTTCGAGGATTCAAACAAGAGAAACAACAAGTCATCTTCTTTTTCTTCAAGATTACAACAATGGCGACTAAAGAAGGGATTTTAGAAAATGGAGCTGGTTTTTGAGAAAACCAAGCTCCGAAAATCCCAACACCAGACACAAAACCTGACAAAATTACTAAGAGAAAAAAAAAGATCGAAACCTAGGATTTTGGGTCTGAAACTAAGAAAAAAAGGGTTAAAAGAGATTGATTTCTCTGTTTCTTCTCCTTGGATAATCCCAGAAAACAAAAGAACAAACTTTTTGGGCAGAGTAAAGCGAATTATTGAATCGGCGATAGATTGCAGGAAGACAGAGAGAGAAAAATTATTGTTAAAAAAAAAATGTAGAGTTACTAAAATTATACAAATTCCATCTAATCACGACAAAAAATGACAAGGATCAAAAAAAAAAAAAAAAAAAAAAAAAAAAAAAAAAAGGGTTTAAACAGTAGAGCAAAAACCAGAAAATCACGGGAGAGACTTAGTAGGGGTTATTGGATTATTGATTTGAATAGAATTAGAAATCCTTATAACATTTGGAAATTCACACATAATTCACTGACTTTAAAATCAAATAATGTGGATTTGAAAATCAAATAAAGTTGATTTTAGAGTCAAGTAAAATGGATTTGAAAATCATAGAAAAGAAATTATAAAATTTTAAAACATGAAATTTTTTATGATAAACAAAATAACCTATCATGTTCTTATCTATGAACTCTGAATTGAATCACTCTACATGTTTGATGCTCTTGTTTCTCTCCACTGATTGTTCTCTCCACACATATGGGAAGATATCAAAGAAGTCCATAATTTGGAAAAAAAAAACCGTTCGTTACGATGCGGTTAAAGTGATTCACCAATTAGGAATGAAATAAGTCTTTGTTAGTATGTCCACTAATGAGCGTCATGATTGGATTAAGCGTAACATTATGGAATGCTAGATTAATTATTTTTTTGTTTTCTAGTATTGTTAGTTTTCTAGAATTTTTCGTCTAGTCTTGTTTGGTTTCGAAAACTACCCTTTGTTTTCTAGTATTTTTGATTTTTATTATATGATAAAATATACTTTTATATGAAGGTGTTTCATGATCTTTGGTATTAGCAGTTTTTTTTTTGTGATTGATATGCTTGAAAGTATTATACGAAGATTTTTCGTGATTTTTGTATTAGCAGTTTTTTTTTTCTTTTTAATATTCAAAACATTACTCTACATCATACTTGCATTATGGAAAATAAAAACTACTAATATTTTTTTTTTCAAATCCACCCAAATAACTTGGTGGAACTCAAGGATTTCAATCTCTCTATTTATAACTAAAACAGATTTTCAAATCCATTCAAATCCAATATGAAATCAAATCCATACTCAAATCTTCAATATTGAATAAAGGGTGATTTTAACTAGTATTTGTAAATCATTGAACCAATACCACATGATTTTTATAAGAATTTTAAAATCAATGATTGAATAACACATGATTTTACTTGGATTTTCAATTCCATTCAAATCAATGATCCAATAAACCCCCTAAATTTGTAACAACTGAATTTTTGTTCTTCTTCCTTATGTATTTATTTTCTACTCTTTTTTTTTTTTAGTTGGAGCTACTAATATTTAAGTGGTAGAAGACGACGAGTTTCGTTTTGTTCTTTTCCAACTAGGTCCCATTTTTCCAATAAAGAAAAATTTAATTTTTTAAACTCATTCTCTATCTTTCTTTTCTAAAATCAAAATTTAAAATGTTTCCCCCAAAATTAAACTCTTTTATCATTATCCCCCTCCTCTCTTCTTCTCTGGCATTTAAACCGGTTTGGTCCCCTCTTCGTGCTTTAAATTACGACTATACCCTCTCTGATAACCACGCTTGGTCGAATTACTATAGTAGCCTCGACGAACAGTACAGTGTTTTGAGAGAACACCCATGAGGCCGACAGTGGATTTTGAAGTTGAGATTTTGACAAATGGACGGTCCAGATTAGATTATCTTGACCTTACGTATTTCAGTGGGTCATATTCACTGTCCTCTGCCTTCCCCGCATTGACTTTATTTACCGTTTTAGTAAATTCTGTTCCTGTCATCATAAGAATAATAATGGCTACTTTATAATCTATCAATTATTAGCTGATAAGTTTGGAATTTTTCACCTATCTTTTTCTATCATATCTTTGCTTCTTCTTTTTTTTTTTTTTTTTTTTTAATCATCGAGCTGTTTTTTTTTGTTTTTTTCTCGTATTTATGACATTTTTGTTGACCTACAATTTAAAGCATGTTAATGGAATTAAGATTTTTAACCAATGAGAAAATTATTATGAGCGTTCTTATGTGTCCTCCATATTTTTGCATGGCGTTAATAACTTTATTGTGAATTTACTGCTACTAATATTTAATGGCTAATGTGTTGCCATTAAATATTACTTTTAGTTTCCATTGCTATTTAAAAAAAAATCTATAACTACAACTAGTATTATTTTAATATGCAACCATTCAAAACCGTTATTATTTCTTTTAGTTTTTGTTTGAAAAAATATCGTTTTATATGTCCATGTTTTCAAAAACGATATGATGCATTTTGTCTTTCTTGTGGGTTTAGAAATATGTGATGGTTTCGTTTGGAATCTAGATTCTACCTTTACAGTTTCGTATGATTTTAATTAATCCATCCACAATCTCCTCAACTAAAATTCCTTGGCTCTATTGTAGTGTTTTTTGTTTAACATACGGATGATGACTAACATAGAACTCATCAAAGCCAAAATTCCCAATGGATCATGTTCCAGGGGATATACAAAAGGCTGACATCTTGACTAAAGCCTTAGGGAGAATCAAGTTTAAAGAAATGAGGGATCTCGTAGGAGTTCAAGACGTATCACAAGAAGTTCTCAAGCTTAAGGGGGTGATTGTTGAAGTAAGCTTGAGTTAAGAAGCTTATGATCAAAGAAGTTAACTAGAGTTAGTAGTTAACTTGAGATAAAAGATAAAAGGTTTTTAGGAGTTATCTAAAAACAAGATATTACCTAAGCTCTCTAAGTCGGTTTAAACAAGTCGGTTTAATGATTAGGTTTTATGTTTTGTGTGTATAAATATGAGCTACCAAAGATGTGGTATGTCATATGAGAGAGTTTAGGGATTGAGAGATTTGTGTACTTTTGTTTTGAGTTAGTTTCAAAAGTAATAAGAAAAGGTGTTCTTATAATCACAAGTTCTTGATCAAAGATATATACTTTAGGATCTTAATTCAATAATAAAAGGACTACGTTACGATCTTGGCTTAAGCTTTACAACGTTCTCTGCATAGTAGTCTAGAAAGGCGTAAGCTTTATGAGGCTTAAAGGCTTCCATTCCTTGGATTTCAACTCTAGTGATAGTGTTCCTCTCGGGATTGTAGTAGAGAAGGTAGAAAGAGTCAGATATATTGTATGGCGACAATACAATATCACCCGTGTCACTCATTCCAACAAATCGTAACTTTGCCTCTTCGATTATATTCTTCAAAGGAGGAGGCAAAACGTAGATATAACTCGACCATTGATGTTTCTCGGCATCTTCTAAAACCCATAGTTGAATTCAAGTATATCGTATTAAGCCAGGACCAATGTTTGGCTGGAGTTTAGCTATTTTACCCTTGTAGTTTACAAGAGTTGGTTGAAGCTTACCTCCTGAGTTAAGTTTCATGCCATGAGCTTTCTTTACATAACTAATTAAACTTCTCAGACTTAATATCAAAGCAAACTATATCAGGGGACCCGGCCGTCTAAGTCATCACAAACTTGGGCTAAGTAATACAAAACACCATTGATGCATATCCCATCATATAAAGGCCGGGGATAACGATAATTAGCTTCATAATCCACAGGAACAGGAGAATGTGCCATGCCACATTTGATCTTCCTCCATGACGGTTTCTTTCCAGTTCCTAATGTCAGAACTTGATGCTCCCCAAAGACTCCTAAAATTGACCGGGTCATACATAATACTTTGAACTCTTTGTCGATCGGATCATACCCAAAATAGCTTGTATTATAGTTCTATTCGTTTTCACATGATTGCCCTGTGCTAGGGATACATATCAGTGGCACAGAAATTGTTCTTCCCTTTTATGTCCTATGACTGTTGAAACCATATACGAAGCCACAAACAGGACGACAAATATCACAGGGACGATTAATAGGGAAGCTCATATGAAAATTGACTGCTAAAGGAGAAGAAATCATGAGGCTTTGGTGATGAGAAGAAGAACGTTTCGCCGTCTCTTGGGAAGGCGAACAATAGCTTCGGGCGTGACGAAGATATGGTGAAGAAAGATTCGGTGAAATATGGATTGCCAAGCGTGGAAGCACATAGCTTCGATAAGCAATGAAATCTCGCTATAGACTTCGCCGGCAATCTCGCGAGTATCTCGATAACGAGATCGAACGGGAGGATCGTTTCGGAGTTTTGCTCTCCTCTTTTCCTTGAATTCGAACAAGATCGTGTATTGCGCCGTGTTTTCATAGCTGTCCCTAAAGTCTCTGTTTTTTCTTTTCGTCAGATAAACCCTAGTCTTTGATTCTTTATAAACGATAATATAACAAAACCCTAGGGCTTTTCAGATAAAACAAAGATAACATATAAGGGCCTATATATAAGTCTAGATTGCGAAAGATAAAAAAAGCTGGCTATTGAAAACGACTTCGTTGGTGATCTTCTCTGCTACCTTCGCCGGGAACGGAGAACTCTGCTGTTTCTAGCGACTTGCTTGGCACGCAAGTTCTCATCATAGGGCTACTTATAATCTGTTTCAATTCTGTAAATATCATTTTATAATAAGAACATTTACATCATTTTGCATGTCTTCCTTAATTATAACTGTGTATTCAACAAAAAAGTAAAACTAGTAGTATATATTATTATTACCCTTTTTAAATAGGAAACAGAGCAAATCTATTATAAACCGTTAAAAGTTATATACATACGTGTAAAATCGAAATCCAAGATCGTTTGCTTCAACTACATAAAACGGTTTTTTTTTTTACGATATGACTCATATCAGTATCATTGGTGAAGAGATAAACCAATGGTTAGAGAGGAAAATAAATATCACGAGACGTCGAGACCCACCAAACAGAGACGTTCACGTAAATCCCGTGATGCCGTGAGCCCCTCTCTTGACAAAATGTCAAATTAAGACACCATTGACGAAGGCATACGATCGAACACCTTTAATGTAATTTAGAATTTGATGGTCAAACATACACTAGGAGTACTATGTTTTCTGATTAAGCACATGACTGATTAAGATTAAAAAAAAAAACAATCAGAGTTCTCATTACCGAGGAGCTTGAAAATCGAAGCCGGCAAAGTCTTCCAAGAAAGAAACTTACAACTCTTACAAAAGGTCAAATGCCAAGGACACAAATCTAACATTACTTTGTTTATCTTCCTTTTTTATGGCCAAGGTTAGAAGAACATAACGAAAATATATCTGAAAAATT